TTATTTAAGAATAAAATAAAAAATTGATTTTTTTCACAATAAATTTTTACTGTTACTGTTTTTGTTTACTATTACTATTAATGTTACACTATGCCACCGACATTATCAACCAAAAAAACATTGTATATAAACTGATATTTTGATAGGTGAATAATAATCTATTGATTTCAAATAATTAGTGAAATAATTTCTTTATTAAAAAAAATTATAAATAGATGAAATAAAAAGTGAATTGAAAAAATCAAAAAATTTTTTTTTAATTTAATTTTTTTTCCAGAAAAATTTTTTAAAAAAAAATAAAAATAAAAATAAAAAAATTATCAAAACATTCATATTTATTTGATAATTGAATTGTTTTTTAGAAATTTTTTTTAAAAAAAAAAATTATAAAAATATCAAAAAACATTAAGATTACATGAACTATTAATTTAGGATCCGAAACAGAAAAAAAGAAAATATTAAAATTATCGATAATTGTTGTTATTAAAATTACGATAATTAAGTTTTTTTCTCACTAAAAATAATAAAAATGATTTTAATATATGATATAGGTCTTCTTTGACTTATGACACCAATATTTTAATATTATTTTATATTAAGACAATGTCATAAGGGAGGGTTAATGCAATGCTTTGGGGAAATATTGCTATAATAATTATGCTCCAGTTTTAAACGGACTAGTGATTAGTCCAATATATGTTCATGAAATTATTAAAAACCATACACAATTAGCTTTAAATTCAACGCAGATATAAATAAGGTACCTGAAAGTAATGGTCATGATAACTATAGCTCACATACTACAAATATAGTGAAACGATATTAAAAGAGAAAAATATTAAAGTTGATCCATAACCGCCCTGCAGTCCAGGTATTAAAATAATAGAAAATCTTTGGTAAATTGATAAATAAAGGGTATCAAAAAAGATGTCTCGTTGCCCATCAATATACTGGCTTAGTTGTATGAAAGTGAAACATCAATGATAAAATCATAAAATGAATAATTCCCCAATCGAATGGATTCAATATATAAAGCACTTAGAGGATATACTAATTATTAATAATCAATACTATTTAATGGTTAAAAAAATACAAATAAAATTAAAATTGAAAAAAGGAAAAAATATGATTTTGCTTTTTATTTATTTTTATTTTAATTTTTCATAAATATTGTAATATGATATTTAAATGATTTATAATGATAATTATATGTGAATGATAAAATCAAAAATCATTTTAATCTTAATTATATACTTGTCTATATATTTTGGGCACTGTAATGGGTTTATAATATTATCAAAAAAAATTAAACATTTATTTATTTACACCTAAGAGTTTTAATAATGATAAAAAAAAGAAAAAGTTATCTTTTATTAATTTGTGTTTATTTTTATTTTTTTATTATTTTTAAGCAAACTGATAACTCTTTAATTTTTATTATTAGCGATTTGAGCGATTGTTATCTATATGGTTTCTATTGTTTTTGATGATGTAAATATTATGGTTGTGGTTTTATTTCCTGTGAGCAAAAAATAAACAATAAAGATAATTGATAAGATAGTATTGTTTAGATGCCCAGTTGTAGATATGTCAAGAATTAAAGTGGTCCAAGAGAATATTTTAATTCTTAATATAGTTTATGATCTCTTGTTTTTGTTAAATTTGATGCCATATAAGGTCTTGGAATTTAGAGGATATAACTGATTAGCTTTCTGTTATTATTATTGCTATAGGTGTTGTTCTTGTTGATGACTCATTGATGTGTATGGTGGAGGTGTGGAATAAACTGGCCATCATTTTGATAAAGTGTGGAGCGAAAAATAAATTGGTTCTTCATCTTCTTCATTATATTGGATTGATATTGTTGCTGCTGTTGTAGTTATTGTTTTTGCCATTGCTATTGCTGTTGTTGTTGTTATAGTTAATGTTATGTTAATGTTAATGTTAATGTTAAAGTTGTTGTTATTATTGTTGTTGTTATTGTTTTTGTTTTTGATTTTGATTTTTGTTTTTGTGTTTGTGTTGTTTTAAGAAGGAACGAAATACAATTGCTTTTTTTATTTCCATTGTTTTTAGATTAAATCTTTAATAAATGATTATAAAACCAAACCTATTTTTTTAGTTTGTTGCTTTCGATATCTGAATTGTTTTTTTTTTGCATTGTTCACAATCTTTTAAACTACTGAAATGTTAAAATTTTTTTCTTTATCTGATTTTGAATTAACTACTTTTTTTGAACATAAACTTGATTGTTCCTATTTTTGGATTCCATTGATTTGTTTTCCAAAAAAAAAAAAAAATAAAAAAAAAAATAAAAAAAAAAAAATTAAAAAAAAAAATTTTAAAAAAAAAAAAAAGAAACAGCTTTTACTTTATTTTTTTTAATTTTTAAAGAGGTATTAATTTTTAAAGATTTTCTAAATGAGATTTAAATATATTTAATTTTAAAACATTTACAACGATAAAAAACGATTAAAAAACGAATAGTTTTAATTTATTTTTTTTTATTTTTTTTTATTTTTTTTTTTAAATTTTATTTTTTTTTATTTTTTATTTTTATTTTTATAACTATTTTTTTTGCCTATAAATATAATTTTTTAAATTTTTATTTTATATTTTTTTAAATATTTTATATATTGTAATAAAGATATAAATACAAATTTGAATTTTTTTTTTTTTTTTTTGAGCCTTTATTTGATTTATCCAGGTTTTATTTGAATTATAAGTTTGATTATCAAAAGAAGAATATATTGAAATATCCTGTTGTGAGAATGTAACTAAAATTAATTAAATATTGTGAAAATGAAACTTTTTATAACCAAATCTTTATTGATGTATGATTTATTATGAGTGTGATTGATTGTGAGTTGTTATATTCTATAAAATAATGAATTTTTGATTGTTGTTAAATAAAAAACTTTGTTTTTATTTTTGTCATAGTTTTATCTGTACAATGTCTATTATATTGTAATTGATAGGTTACTGTAACAAACAAAAATGAAAAAAAATGTTGATTAAAAGTTATTTATAATAAGTAAAAAACTATGTTTAATCAACAAATGTTTACAATTACACAATGCAATAAATCTAATGATCCAGAAAAAAAAAACATTTATAAAATTTGTAAAACAATAAAAATAAAAAAACAATAACAAAATAAATACAAAACCATTGTTTGTTTTATATAACCAGTTTCGACATCTATATAATTTTTTCCTAATAATCTATTAAATAGTAAATAAGTTGGAATTTTATTGTGTAACTAATGGGTATAATATCGATACATTATCTTTAAATAATGAAAAATTAATCTTTTATAATTATTTTTTTTTTATTGCTGCCCTATAAAAAAGTGAAAATGTTTTTTATTTATAAATAAAATAAATGCACACACAAGATATTTTATAATTTGATTACAATAAAAGAACACATAAAATTCCTTTGTATTAATTTAAATATATATTGTAACAAAATATGGTTATAAGGTTAATATTTTTGGGGGATTGATAGTGGTGTTGTTAAATTAAATTGTTTGGGTGAAAATATTACACTTTATATTTAAAAAATTTGATTATGAACAGTTTTACAATGTGTTTTTTTAATATCAATATTTATTTTATTATTTTGTTTTGGTTTATTGTTATTGTTTTATATAAAAATTTTATGGAAATATAATTATATGTAAAATAGAATATAACGAATCTATTAAAAAAAACAAAAACGATTAACCAAGCTTGGTACAAATAATTTTAATTATAAATATATTTATAAAGTTATTTATGTTACTATTAATTTGTTGCGTAAAAACAAATTTAAAAAAAAATTGGATAACATGTGTTTTTTTTTTTTTTTAATTTTTTTTAATTATTTATGAAAATTGGTGATGCCAAACAAAATTTTATTTTTTGTGTGAGTTTGTAATTCATATTTAAATTTTCCTAAAAATAATAAAAAACTGCAAAAAATAAATAAAAAATTCCATGAAAAAAGAAAAAAAAGATAAAAAGATAAAATGCTTATAAAACAATACACCCATAATAATAATAATAATATTAAATTGCTTTTTAAAGTGTTTATTGGTTTATTTTTTTTATTAAA